GGGAGGCGGGCGGGGTGTCTGCGGGAGCCTTTCTGAAAAGGAGATGGGGTTGCCACAGGTCGTCTCTTTAAGGAACGATGACACAGCAACAGGAAGAGTTTAAGATAGTCTAGTTTTTAGGGCTTCTGTGAGAGTTTCCTGAGGCAGTTACAGAGATAATTTGTTTGTTCAGAGATCTGACCGTATAGTGGGGCGCCCAGCGTCAGTTTGAGCCAAGCCCTCTCAAGCTTCTGACAGTTTTTACATTTTAATGTGTTGAAGTTTTAATGCTGCTCTGTACACTGGCCCAGGTTTCTCTGTATAGTTGCAGTGTTTTTCTTGCTCTGTAGCAACTCCTGGATGATTACCCAAAATGTTTCATTGTGGGAGCCGACAACGTAGGATCCAAGCAGATGCAGCAGATCCGTATGTCCCTGCGAGGGAAGGCTGTTGTGCTGATGGGGAAGAATACGATGATGCGCAAAGCTATTCGTGGTCATCTGGAGAATAACCCTGCCTTAGAAAAGTGGGTAACGCTGTCCGATTGTACTTCTGGGTCCTCTGTCTGGGAGGAGATATTGTCTGAGAAGCAGAACTGAAGGTTTTCATCTTTCCTTTAGGCTGCTCCCTCACATCCGTGGGAATGTGGGCTTTGTCTTCACCAAGGAGGATCTGACTGAGATCCGTGACATGCTGCTGGCTAACAAGGTAGGAGAGCTCAGCCCTCACTGTCTCTCTGGGCTGCAGAGTTAAATATAAAACTGAAACTACATGGGGCACAGCTGATTATTAGGAGTCTTCAGGGGCTTGGAACTAGGCCTCTGCAGCCTTAGCTCAAGTTCAGCTCCTCTCTCTCATTTGTGTGCCTTGGTGGTGTCCATCCTGGAGGAGTGCTTCAGGAGGGAGTTGATGCCATCCCCCGAGATCTGAGAGGTGAGCATTCTTTCAGCTTCTCGTTTCCCCTTTCTCCAGGTGCCAGCCGCTGCCCGTGCCGGTGCTATTGCTCCTTGTGATGTGACTGTGCCGGCCCAGAACACTGGTCTTGGACCTGAGAAGACCTCCTTTTTCCAGGCCTTAGGCATCACCACGAAGATTTCGAGAGGGACCATTGAAATTCTGGTCAGTGAGCAGCCTGCTGCTGTTGTCAAAGCTCTTCCTTGACTGGAGGGTCCCTACTGTGGCAGTTGATGGAGCTGTGAAAGTCAAAGCTCCCATTAGTGCTGAAATGCCATGTCAGCGGTATCTGACTGCTGCACTTTGGGAAGTTGAGGGAGGATGTCTGCTTGGTGTGCAGTGTGTGGGGGATTTAAGTTTTCAGTCAGATCTCGGCTAAATGGTTAACTCACAGCGAGCTACCCGTGGGTAATGCAGGGAGGGTGCTGCCTTTCTCCTAGCTGAGATGCACCTGTTTGTGTGGTCTAGGGCTTTCTTGACTTGTGGAGCTGAACTTGTAGAGCCCGTTTTGTTGTGCTCAGTTGTTCCTTCAGTTCTGTCTCTTGCCATCGGAAATGTGTTTGTGTGCCATTGCATTGATCTACCTGAATTTCTTTGTGCTTATTCACTCGTTTTCCCCTTATTTCCTCAGAGCGATGTGCAGCTCATCAAGACCGGAGACAAAGTGGGTGCCAGCGAAGCCACCCTGCTATCTCCCCCTTCTCTTTCGGGTTGGTGATCCAGCAGGTCTTTGACAATGGCAGCATTTACAATCCTGAAGTGCTGGACATCACCGAGGAGACCTTGCACAAGCGCTTCCTGGAGGTGAGTGCATCCCTTAGGTTCCACCCCTGGAACCTAATGGATACAAATGAACAAAAGTTTAAATCCTTGTCTAATTTCATTGGAGCTGTGTTGCTTGCGTACATCGTATGCTGTCCCTCCGTACGCTGGCAGTGTGGAAACATGCTGTCACCTGCTGCAGTTTCTAGTCCTGGTTGTTTCTTAGAGCACAGAAACATGAGTCTCTCTCCTCACAGGGTGTTCGCAATGTTGCCAGTGTCTGTCTGCAAATTGGGTACCCGACCATTGCTTCTGTGCCCCACTCCATCGTCAATGGGTACAAGCGGGTCCTGGCTGTGGCAGTGGAGACCGACTACACCTTCCCACTGGCTGAAAAGGTAACAGCTGAGGGATCGGCTGCAAAGAGGGCAGTTAAAAACGCAGCCGGGTGCTTTCACAGACCGCTTGTTTGGAAGGGACCTGTCCTGAAAAGGGGCGCTTGCTCCCATGTGTTGTGTATGGACAGCAGGAGAAAGCGCAATTACCTGGCAGTTCCTTCCTCCCTGGGGCTGTCACACTTGAGTGTAGTTCTCTCTACTTCTTCATATGCAGCAGTGATAAGTAGATCTGCTTGGCTTCTGGCCCTTTATGATTGCAGAGGTTCAATCCTTCAAAATGTTTGTTTCCTTTGAATTCACCTTCTCTTTCTTGCCCTTTGCAGGTGAAGGCTTTCCTGGCAGACCCCTCTGCTTTTGTGGCAG